CGCGGGGCCCGCGGTCTGTCCCGGCGCGGAGCGGGCCGAGGCGGGGGGCCGCGGGGCCGCTGTGTGTTTGCTGCCCGTGACCGCTCGCTTCTCTCTCTCCAGAAAAGCACCGGGGATTCGCCTTCATCGAGTTTGAGCTGGCAGAGGTGAGAAAGGGGCAAATCCTGGGGCCCGCCTCTTCCTCCCCGGACCCTTTCGGGCTGGAGCCTCTTCCCGGCGGGGACGCTGCAGCTGACGGAAGCAGGCGGGTTCACCGGCCACAGCCTCGAATCTCTCCCCAGCAGCTGGAGCTGCTGTTCCTCCTTTCCCATTTTCCCATTTGCTTTTCTTAATTTTCCTTCGGGCTGAAGCACGGCCACTGCCAGCCCACGCTGCTCCCGGGCTGCCCCCGGAGCTCAGCAGCGGTGGGGTGTTTCTTTCCTTCGTGGGCAGCACAGGCCGTCATATATTTGCCATTTTATAATCTGTCCTGGGTTTCATACACGAGATCTCTTCTCTTTTCCCAAATACTTTATGTAAGCGATAAAGCATCATACACAAAACGGGTTTACTGGATCGGTTGTGGGAAGACAAACCCCAGACACTGGTTTGGATGTTGCTTATGCAAGATCCATCAGTGCTTGCCCCCCTGGAGTAGATGGGGTTTAGGAAAATGGCCCTCAGTCTTGATTGCAGCAAAATGCTGGGGCATGTGTACGCTGAGCACGGAGAGAAGAAACAGCAGTAATCATTTTCTTTTGCTTTTTTGGCAGGATGCAGCAGCAGCTATTGACAACATGGTACGGACCCCGTTCCCCCTCGCCCACAGAGACGTGTGGCTTTGCCTTCTTCCCATAGCACAGAGCGAGGCCCTGTGTGGTGTGGGCTGCACAGAGAAAGCAAGCTCTCTTTTCCTCTGACCTCTGCAGGGGTTTGGGGGACGTGGGGATTTTTTTTTACCTTTTGGTGGGCTTTGTTTTGCTTTTCTCCTCTGCAGAATGAGTCTGAGCTCTTTGGCAGGACAATTCGTGTGAACTTGGCCAAACCAATGAGAATTAAAGAAGGATCATCCAGGCCTGGTGAGTTGGTGCTTGGGAGGGGAGAACATCCCTGTGGATGTTCAGAGCTTCGTGCATCAGCCTTTCTGCTTTCCTAGAGCCGGAGGCTGCATCCTGCCTCCCATTTGTGGATCTCAGGGATCTGAGCAGCATCCTAATAACCAAATAACCAAAACCACTCCTCAAGTCCTTGGGTGGAAACACTCTTGGCTGCACTTCTAATTTCCTTCATGCCCTCTGACAGAGGACACAGCACACACACACGCACAAGTCAGGCAAAATTACCCACACATCTGGCCACATCTGTAAAAGCAGATACCTGTAAAAGATACCTGCGTGGGGGTACTTGCAAGGATTAGGCCATGAGCTTGCACTGCCCTCCTCTGGGAGGGAGATTACTTTCTCTTTTCTTTCCCCACACTCTGTCTTTTGGGGTAGGCTGCTGCCCGCTGAGTGCTCCCACATCTCGGGTGCAATCTTGCTGCCGGTGCCGTGCTGTGCCCTGACCTGTGCAGCCCCGTGTGTGCTCACATGTGGCCCTTTAGTTTGGTTCCTGTGCTCTGACCCTCCCTTTTGCTGTCACAGTCTGGTCGGATGATGACTGGCTGAAGAAGTTTTCAGGAAAGACTTTGGAGGAAAACACAGAGGAGGGAGGAGCAGAAGCCCCCAAACCAGAGGTGCAGGAGGTAGGAAAAACAATTGGAGCCATCTGTATCCTGCTGTCCCGAAGGTTGAGAGTGTGGGGCCAGCTGTCTCTGGAGGCAGAGCAGAGGAATGTCAGCTTGCTTTTTTCTTTTCCTGCCCAGGGTGAGCCTCCTGCCAAGAAATCCCGGGTCAACCCTCAGGTTTACATGGACATCAAAATTGGAAACAAACCTGCGGGGCGGCTGCAGATCCTCCTGCGCTCAGACGTGGTGCCCATGACCGTAGGTGAGGAGAGGGTCAGCCTCCCCAGCGTGGTGGCTTCCAGCTGCGGTGCAGCTCTCACCTCTCTCCCCCTTGCCCCCAAAACAGAGAATTTCCGCTGCCTCTGCACCCATGAGAAAGGCTTCGGCTTCAAAGGGAGCAGCTTCCACCGCATCATCCCCCAGTTCATGTGTCAGGCTGGCGACTTCACCAACCACAACGGCACCGGAGGCAAATCCATCTACGGGAAGAAGTTTGATGATGAAAACTTCATTCTCAAACACACGGGGCCAGGTAGAGCCATCTCCCCAGGCAGGGGCTGAAGAGCGAAGTGGCTCAATATCATTTAAGGGCCACACTTGGGCTCTTCTGATCTAGACCGTGTTGATAGTAGCAGCCCTGAATGATAATCTGTGTTGGCCAAACGCTTCTGCCGCGGTGTGATCCGCTGTGTCAGACTGTCATGTGTCACTGGCATCCAGCCAGCAGAAATGCATCGTTCACTCTCCATCCACTGGTAATTTCCAGTATTATGTGATGGAGAAAGTTTCAAAGCTGCTTTCCTGATTGATTTTAAAGGAGGAATGTCGCAGGGTGACTGTGAAAAGCAGCAAAAAGCAAGCAGGTTTATCTCTGTACAAACAGCTTTTCTATTACTGCAACTAAAAATAGATGAGCAATCTTTACCCCTTTCCATTTTCCGTGCTTGCAAGTGTTTCTCTCTTGACATAATTGGTTTCCAGTCGTTCCTGTGGAGTTTAATATTCAGACTTTCTGAGAACCAGCAGCGTTTTGCAGGGCATGGGAGTGGGTTTGGGTTGAAACGACGGCTCATGTGCTGGAGCTCATTGCTCCCTCTCCAGCCATAACAACTGCACTTTTTGATCACAGGGCTGTTATCGATGGCAAACTCTGGCCCAAACACCAACGGCTCCCAGTTCTTCATCACTTGTGATAAAACAGACTGGCTGGACGGGAAGCACGTGGTGTTCGGGGAGGTGACGGAGGGCATGGACGTGGTGCGACAGATCGAGGTAGGTGCTGGCCCCCCCCCGGGGTGGCCTGGGCAGAGCCCAACCTCCTTCTCTGCCCTTGCACTTCCTGCCTTTAATTCCTGCTGCTCCTTTTCCAAAGGCTCAAGGCACCAAAGACGGGAAACCGAAGCAGAAGGTGATTATTTCAGACTGCGGGGAGTGCCCGTGAGCTCGGCTCTTGGAGGGGGCTGGATGGGGTGACCCTGGGCCCCCAGCAGTGTCCAGCTCCTGCGACTTCTGTCGAAATCCCCCTGCAAAGCTTCATGTGAGTGTGCCTGCGGGCAGCGCTGCGGGGCCCCCACCCGCCCCAGGGGAGGTGGAAGGTAGATCGCTTCTCTGCCTGCCCTGCCCTCTGCTGCCCTGAGCAGGGCAAGGCTGGTTCTGCTGCTGTCTTCTAGAAAGTATGTTTGGTAAAAATAAAACCTAGTTTTAAAAATACTGAGGACCTACTCGTGGCTGTTGAATTCTCTCCGTGTGAGGACAGTCTTTGCTTTTGAGCAAAGATGCTTTTTTGTGTGCGTTCGCTCTCCTTACCTGGTGCCTAAATCCTGGCTTCAGGGGAAGTTACCTGTGAACGAGCAAGAAGAGCAGAGCTGAATCTCTCATGTTTTTTTCCACAGCAGGATCTTGTGGAGATGTTTTGAGCGTGTTCCAAGCTCTGTAGTGTCCTTTCCCAGCAGCAGAGGGAGGCAGGTCCCTGCTGGCAGCCGTGTGCTGGGAAGCCAGCCTGCTCCATCATCTCCATCCGAGAGGGAGGGCGTTTACTGGGATGTGTAAGTGGGAGAACAAGGTCTGGACAAGAAGCAACCAGGAAAAGAGCAAACCCTTTGGGTGATAGAGGAAGAAAAAAAAAAAAACCCCGATGAGGCTGTAGGAAGGGATTTAATTTCCAAACTGTGGTTTGTAGAGCAGGAGAGCTCTACTCTTTATAGTTCCCGTCAGTGGGTGGCTCTGGCTGTGCCCCGTGAAGGTAACTGCAGCGTTGGGATGTGATTGATTTGGGGTTTCCTAGGAAATGGTGGCACTGGGCACTTCTGGGAAGGGGCGTTGGTGAGGAGGAAGGGATGTGTGGTTTTGAGCTTGCGCAGGCGTTGGCAGGAGGGCTGGGGCTGCCTGGGCAGAGAGGGCCAGGGGTGCAGGGCTGGGGTGTAGGGGATGTTTTTAAGAGCTTGTGCGATTGGGGATTTTGAGTTTTGCCAACCCAGCTGCTCACAGATGAGGGGTGGGGGTTTTTTTTCCATAATAAACACTGGGTGGCTTTTATTCACTTGCTGTTTTTCCACGCTGTTTGGGGGTCATGCATTGCCCTACGAAAGGGACAAGGTGAGATGGGCACTCAGACATGGCACCTGACAGACAAACCAACCCAGCACTTCCCCCCCCCCATCCCTTTTTGCTGTTTAAATCTCACATTTCTGAAGGCAGTCTGTGCAAACACCTTCAGCCACACCTTGAACCAGGGAGAGCCCTCCCTCAAGGGGTAGCTGAGGGAAGCCCTGGGCTTTTTCTCTGCAAAAGGCACCACGTTGCACAGAGCCGTGATTGCATCCTGAGCTGGATTTCATGTGAAATTAGTCAGCAGATAAAATTTTTCCAGAGAAGCGAGACCTTTTCTCAGGAAGCTGGGCATCGGCAGGGAGCAGATCTTTCTTATTTTGGTGGGTTTATTGGGATTTTTTTCCTTTGCGTTTGGCCAAGCCAGGTTCGTTATTTGTTTAGTGACGCAAGGTTCCCCGGGTACCCGAGCTGAGAAGCAGGCCAGGCCGTTTCCTTTTAAAATCACAGCAAATAAGTAACTTAATTGTGCAAATAGCACAGGGAAGGTGCCTGGGGCCGGTGCGGGCGCAGCCCCGTTGTGAGCCCACAGGAAGCATCCACCGGCGAGGACAGCCGCTCTCCTGGCTGGGGAGACACAGCCTGACCTAAAACTCACATCGCAACACTTTGGCAGGGCTCGTTTTCAAGCAAATAGGTACAATTTTAGCCGATCCTGGTGTATTTTTTCATTGCGAAATCCCGTCCGCCCAACAGAGCGCTGCTGTGCCGTGACATTTATTAAAAAACAAAGAGCAAGAGAAACTACGTGTTTACTTTCCAAACTAGGCGTTTATTTTATAACAGAGTTGTAGCTCAATATGGATTTTTTTTTTTTTTTCCAACTGGCTGAATTTTCTGAACTTTACGTAAACAGGAGCGGGTTAGTCAGCCAGCTATTTAATTGGCCGACGGTGTTTTCATTAAAGGAATTAAAAGCGCTGGGTAGAGGTGGGTTAGTTAGACATACATGGCTAGAAACAACCCCAGAGCAACTCGGATGCCGCCTCCCTTGGCCTAATTACCCTTCAGCCCAAACTGCCTCCACTGGAGACTGCAGCATCCTGTGAGCCAGCAGCGTGAGGGGAAAACACATCAGCCACGCACAAAACAGACACGGAACCAGCCACAAATCCTCTCTTTCCTATATATATATATATATATGTATATATGTATGTGTCTCAGTAAGTGTGGTAAGAGAATAAAAGTTTTATATTATTTACATCCACTTCTAGGAAGGGGTGGGAGGGATTTATTCTTACTATTTATTAATGGACTTCGCTATGATGCAGCCCATGAAATTCCTCTTCCACACACGCAGCAGAAACCCAGTGTCACATTGCTCTGGTGGGGATGGGATGGGATGGGATGGGATGGGATGGGATGGGGATGGGATGGGATGGGATGGGGATGGGATGGGATGGGGATGGGACCCGGCCGTCAGTGGCAGCCGCAGGATTTCACCACCATGTTGCGGTGCTTCTTCAGGATGACGTTGTTGTTGCTGTCGTAGTAGAGGACGGAGGTGGCACTGAGCTTCGTGGGGGCACAGCACGCCTTGGGCACGGCCTCGGGCTTCATCAGGTGGACCTGGGGGATGGATGGAGCCTGTGAGCACCAGTGAATGTGGCTCCGGGCAGAAGAAAAAGCACCAACCAGCTCTTAGCCGCAAAAAGCCTGGGTGAATGGGGAGATTATTTCTAGCTTTTTTGCAAAAATATTTATTCTGAACTCTGGGCAGTCCTCGTTGCAGTTTATATTGGATCGGGGCTCGTGGCACCACGCAGCCCCTTCATTAATTTGGGATTTCTGGGCACTTTTCTCACTGTAAATAAGCAAACAGGTAAAAAAAAAAAAAAAAAAAGTAAGAGCAGCGTGGGTCTCACTTCTGTGTGGGTAGGGGGTGCTGGATGCTGTTGCAATAGAGATTCTCCTTCAGGGCTCAGTGCTGCCCTAAATTTAACACACCGCACTAAAACCTTCAGCACACGACACCCCTCTGAACACAGCTGTCCTTCGGCTTGTCCATCCCCTGCTCAGGACACACGTTCTCCCAGTAATTCGCTGTAGAGCAGCAGCTGGGAGGCTCACAGGCTGCTGGACAGACTCAGCCCTTGCTGGCTTTACCCGACATGTGCGATTAATTTATTGCAGGGGCAGCCGAGCTCTCCCAGTTCGGAAGTCCGGTGTTTTTGCTGTCAAACCCTGCTATTTGCAGCACAGGCTGGGGCTGGCACAGCTCCCCAGCTGCGTTTGCCCCGGCGCTTCCCAGAAGGGCCAGATCCAGGCGCCAGGTGATTCACATCCTGCCCAAACGGCTCCGTTTCGGGAAGAGTGTTGGGTTGAGGGCTGATGGGTGGGTGTAGGGGGGGAAGGGGACCCCTCCCCACTGCTGCCAGGATCATGCCCAGCCCCGGATGGGGCCTCTGGCAGCTTCGTTAATGTAAAAATTAAACCCTGCCAGGCGACACCTTCAAAGGCTCGGCCAAGGACTCGGCGCTCCCTGTAATTAACGGCGAACACCGGAGCTGGTGTGAGTCTGCCATTGGGAAACCAAACACTCACAGGGCAGGAAATTCCAGAAATTAAAACACCGGCTGGGATGCGGGGTGGGTTTGGGAAAAATGGGGCATTAAAGCCTTCCTGCTTGGAATATGCTGAGCCCAACATTTGGGTGCTGAGCTGCAGCGGCGCTTTGTGGGACCTCGGAGCAAAGCCTCGCACACGGCTGGCGAGGAGGAGGATGCACGGGTGACACGATGCCCTTCACCAGCGGACAGGGCAGCACCCATCCCATGCACCCGCCGGGGCTTTAGTGGGAGCTGGAGCTAAACTGCACCCTCTGACCGGAATGCTTTCAAACCAAGGCATGCCCAGCCCCAAATTCAGCTTTTCATCAGGTTCTGCCTGCTCCCGCAGGGCCCCCAGCGTCCCCCCCCGGGGCTGCCATCGGCGTCGCACTGACCAGGGACTGCAGGATGGCATGGTTGGTGGCGTTCATGCAGGAGTCCAGCGGGAAAGCACACTCCCCCTCGCAGTAGTAGGCTGAGTACCCCTGCGGGGAAAAAAAAAAAAAAAAGGGTTTCCACCAGTTACACCACGGGCTTCACCCTTCTTGTGCCCCTTCATCCATTCCCCACCTGCAAAAACAACCCAGCCAGCTCCTCCCCGGGCAGCCGTGCCAGCAGCAAGGGTTTATGTTGATTTTTCGGACTGAGCCGTGAGTTGTTCAGGGTCACTGCTGAGGTTTGGGGTTGTGGCAGTTCATGTTTGCCTTCCCCGCGCCCAGCTGCCCTGCACGGCTGCAGATCACTTTATGGGCAGGAGAAGCCAGGCTGGAGAGAGCCCAGGGGGGGAGGATGATGGGTTTTGTTGTTCTTGGGTTTTTTTGTTTTTTTTTTTTCATTTACTTCTCCCAGTAGACAAGTACCAGCCAGCCGAGGTCCTGAAAGCTGACGTAGAGCTCATGGCGCCGGCAGACCTGCCGCCCGTCCGCGGCGTGGACATCGTCTGCAGGAGAAGGGGACAGGCAGCATCAGCCCCGTGGCGTTGGCGTCCCGCTCGCCCCGCCGCAGCCATCCCCGCTCAAGGGTGGGATTGAACCCGTACAACCGGGGTTAGGCCAGAGGAACAAAAGCAGAGAAGCTTCCGTTGTTGGATAAAGGGAAAATTTAATGCTCCCACATCAGGACAAGGGGGATGGCTAAGTCCCAGCTCTGCTCACAGAGGATTGGCCTCGAGGGGTTTTCCCAAGCTCAGTGGGCTCAGGAGAGCTGGGGCTTTCTGCTCCCCTCCTGCCTGACACCCTCCTGGGGTGATGCCCTTCCAGGGTGGCTTCAAAGCCAAGAGCAAGAATGCGAAAAGTCTGACATTCGGGTATTCTGAAAACCCCACGTAACACCATTGCCATGGGGGCATTCGCCCCAGACCCCCTGCACCTCACAAACTGCAAACAACCCCAATCCTAAAAACCCAGAGTGCTTCGTTCTGCTTCTCTTGGGGCCAAAACTGGGAGTTCTGACAGGGCAAGGCACTAACAGAACGTCCCTTGACCATGGTGGCAGCAGAGCCCCGTGTTTTCCACAGGGACGGTTTCTCACCAAAGCTCTTTTTCTCACCAAAAATTCCTGGCAGCTTGTTTGGATGCGGGAGGTCGTTCGTCTTCTTGGGCTGCCGCCTCCTCGGGGGCTTGGCTGCCCGTGTAATGCGTGTGGGGCCGGGGCTCGCCCGGAAAAACGTCACCATGAAGGGCTGCTTGGAGCGGGGTCCCCGGCGCCCCAGGAGCCCTGCCGAGCCCGGGTCGACGCTGTGCCCTACAGGGACAGGAGCACGCGGTGCTTTACTCTCAGAATAAACTCATTGGGTTAAAGCAAGGGGGAAAAAAATACAGGAAATTTGCAGCAGAGAGCTGTGGTTTCAGCATCCCAAGTGAGTGGGCGCCCACCCCAGCACTCCCATTCTGCTGTTGCCCCCCAGGAGGGTGCGTGATGGGCAGTACGGCCTCATCCTGCCCGGCCGTCACCCTGCGATGGTCACACAGAGCCAGTCAGGGGTTTAAACCAAGTGAGCCCCAAAGCGACTGAGTATCCCCTTTTGCCACTGGGGAGGAAAGCTCGGTGTGCTGGGAGGGAAGGGGGTGGATGGGGCATCCATGGCTGCGCGTCCTCCCCGCCCTGGGAGCAGAGATGCTCGCTGTGGCCCTCAGCACCGTGCCTGCACACGTGCAAAAGGCACCACTGGAGCAGATTTGATCCCGTGGTGAGAAGAGGGTTAATCCTCCAGCGCACACACACGCGAGGATCCCTCCAGGTAAGGAGTTAAGTGCTAATGGGGTTATTACAACCCACACCAGGAACCCCATTAGCATGAACGCCTTTGGGAGGCTTCCTGCCTGCAAACCCAACTGACTTCTGGCACCCGCAATTCTCCATCACAGCTGGAAATTTAAAATTGCAACGAGACGAACCCCACCCGTTGTGGCACCAAGAGGGCTCCGGTTCCCGGGGATCTGGCCCCAAACGCTGCTGGTAGGTTAGGCAGGCTCACCATCGTCAGTCTCCACGTAGAGTCGCAGCCCCAGGTTGTATTTCCGATCCACTAACCAGTGGTTGCTGGCGGCCGTGACGTCAAACACCAGCCAGCCCTCAGTCCCAGCACGCAGGTCCTGGACATCCAGCAGGAACAGGTCAGACTCCCTGTGGAAATGGGGAAAAAAAGTGAGCAGGTGAGTAACAGCACCCAAAGGGCACCAGCGATAATTCAGGGAAATGACTCCTCAGTGCTTGTGTCTGTACAGGTCCTGGCACAGCAGGGTCAGGACGGTGGCTCCCAGTGCCTCCGGCTGTGCTGGACATAATGGTGACACCCTGGCAGCTGCCCTGGGAAAAGCATCCGCCCAGCCCCGGCCGAAAAGCTGAGGTGTGGCATTGCCCGGTGGGAAAGCGTGGGAACAGCCGGCTGCGGCGGTGCTGCTGCCCTCGGCGCTTGCAGGGCGGTGGGAGGGGAAAGTACTGGGGCTGGTGCTTACGGGGGATCCCTTCCCCATCTTCATCCCTATATCTTTATCCTTATCCCCATGATTTTCATTCCCATCCCCATATCTTCATCTTCATCCCCATCGCCATCCTCATTCCCATCCCCATGATCTTCATTTCCATCCCATGATCTTCATTCCCATCCCCATATCTTCATCCTCATCCCCATATATTCACCCTCATCCCCATATCTTCATCCTCATCTCCATGATTTTCATTCCCATCCCCATATCTTCATCTTCATCCCTATCCCCATCCTCATTCCCATCCCCATGATCTTCATCCCCATCCCAGTATCTTTATCCCCATATCTTCATCCTCATTCCCATATATTCATTCTCAACTCCATGATCTTCATTCCTATCCCATGATCTTCATCCCCATCCCTGTATCTTTATCCCCATATCTTCATCCTCATCCCCATCTTCATCCTCATTCCCATCCCCACAATCTCCATCCCCATCCCCATCGCCATCCCTGTCTCTGCCCCCATCCCCGTCCCCGTCACCTGTTGGAGTGCTCGGCGGCGATCTCGTAGATGCTGACGTGGAGGGTGGTGTTGGCATGGCGAGTTACACCCCGCGCCTTGTAGATGCGAAACTCGGCGGCCGTCACCGACTCGCCCGTGGGCACCTGGGTCAGGTCGAACCTGAACTCCTTCCAGTACGGCTTCGGGGAGAAGATGTCCCGGTCCTGCTCAACTGTGGGGCAAAGGGGTCAGGGAGGGCTGTGCCCGGCTGCCGTGGCCTTTGCTGCACCACCAGCCTCCCCAACAGGCTGATCAAAGCCTGAAGACACCCCCCAAGTCCCACTGACCCAATTTTCCCCCAATTTGGGGACAAACCCCACTGGCTCCGGGTCCCTCACTCTGCTGCAAACTCCCATCTCTCCTCTCCATAATTTTTATGCACGCCTCTCCCATTTTTGCACAATCCCCCCCCAACTTTATTTTGCTGTAAACCCACCAGCCTTCCAGCGCTCTTTCTTTAATATTAATTAAAAAAAAAAAAAAAAGAAATCAAAAAGCACCAAGGCTTGGCTACAGCGGGAGCACAGAGAAGCTGCCCCTCACGCTGCAGTTTAGCGGCTGCAGCCCTTTGCACTTCACCAAAGAGTGAAAAACGCACCCAAAAAAAGCCGAGCTTTGGGGCTTGGCGGGACTGTCTGGAGCAGGAATTGAGGATTTTGCAAACCCTTCTGGCAGCAGGAGCGTGGGGAACAAAATCTGGACAGCCCAGGGCTTGGTGGGGCCATCGCAGGGTCACAGGTCCCCTCTCCCACGGGCTTTGGGCTGCTGAAATACAAAGATTTGGGCTGATGAAACGTAAAGATTTTCAGCCGATGCAAGACTGAGGGCGGGGAGGGGATTGTCAGGTCACCCCTCTGCAAAAATAAAACCTCCCTTTCTACTGACAATACCTACTTTCTGCAGAAATCCAGTGCACGTTAGGAAAGGAAAAATCTGGCGATTCCTTTTTTTTTTTTTTTTATGTCCATAAAGAAAAACCCACTGTCTTTACAGTAATGCAGCCCCACACAGTTTCTCTAATATGTAATTATTTTCTTCAAATTGTTCTTTAAAAATCTTCCAAGCTGCCATGACTGAATATAATTAAAGTGATTAAAGCTCCTCCTGCTTCAGGCACAAAAGCAATGCAACGAATCTGACCCAGCGCTTACTTTTTGAAACAAATAATTAATTAACTGAAGGAGCACGTTTTAAATGCGATTTTTAACCCATTCTGGGGGAAAACACATTCCAGATTGAATACAACACAAAGTGGCCATCCCCATTTCCATGGGGGGAGCAGCACAGCGCACCCCTCCAGACTGAACGCTGAGATTTTAATTATGCATCTGCAGGTCTTTTTTATTTTTTCCTTTTTTATTTTTTCCTTTTTTTTTTTCCCCTTTTTATTTCTTCTTTCTTCTTTTTCTTTCTTTTCCTTATTTTTTTCTTCTTTCTTTTTTTTCCCTTCTTTTTCCCTTTTTTTTTTTTTTTTAAAATCCCACGTTCCCTCCAGCTACTGGGCTCACCACAAGTTATGTTATAAAAAAAGCCCGGGGCCAGGCGGGCAGGGGCGGATGCGGAGAGCGCTTCCTGCTCCCGTGGGGAGGCCGCCCGGCCGGTGGCCAGCTGCGGGCAGGAGGATGCTGCCGGGAGCTGGACCTGGCCCATGCACCCCCTTGGAGGGGACACACACCAGTCCCCCCAATCCTGCTGCAGCCCCTTGGGCTCTTTTGTGCTTTTCCATTTCTTCTACCAACCCATCACCAACGGTTTAACACTCCAGGGCTGTTAAAGATGCTGCCGAAGCTACCGACGCCTCACGGCTCTTGCAAAATCCTTAAATCCCCCCAAAACAACCAGAGGAATCACCTTTTTTTTTTTTTTTTAATCACTGATAAACCCCCGTGGGAGGTCCTGCAGTCGATCCAGCGGCGACCAAGGTTCAAAGCAGCGTCCCCTTGGGGTTTTTTGGCCACCTGGGTCACCCCTTTGCTCCCCGGCATCAGGCAAGACCCAACCAAATACCAGCTCAGAAATCATCGTGTTTTCAACAAAAGGAAGCTGCGGGTGGACCTTCATCCAGGGAAGGGCAGGGGGGAGTTTTGTGGCAGAGCCAAGGAGGTCACAGGGACCCAGCAACACAGAAAAAAAGACCCCAGGGTGATTTTTGGCCCCTGGAGAAAGGTGAAAACCTTCGCTTTGTCATGAAATCGTCCCATCTACGTGATGGAGGAGTCTGAAGCTGAAGGCAGAGGGGGCAGGTGGGCTTGTGGGGACACCCAGGAGTGAGAAAGGCTAAAGGGGATGGCAATTAGCTCTGCGCCTTGACGAACCAAACGATCCAGACGTAATATCCAGCTGTCTAGTATTTGAGATGAGAGACTAGAAGGAATCCCGGCTTCCTCCCCCATTTTGTGGAGCAGAAGAGGGAACCCCCTCGGAAGGGCAGGGCCAAGGGCGAAGCGTCCTCTCCGGTGCGGGCGATGGGGGTGGGACTGGCCACGTTCAGCAAACAGCACCCCGGGGTGATGCCCAGCAGGTCGGAGGAGGTTCCACATCACCCTGGTTTCTGGCAAAATTATAAACGGCTGCAGAACGACCAACCGTGCGCAGCGAGGGAGCGCGTGGCGCATCCTGCCAGCGCTCAGCACCCTTTGCCCAGGCAGGAAAGTGGGTGCTCGAGAAAAGTGCTGCTGGTGATGGGGGTGCGCGGGCGATGGGCCCCCCCCAGCTGCGAGCCCGTCGCGCCTGGGAAGCTGCTATTGATTCGAGGAGGGTTGACTCAACCGCGCCGCCAACCCTCAATTATCTGTGGGCGGATTATCCGGATTGTGGATGAGACACACTAAAAAAACCCAACCCAAGCTCTTTGGTCTCTTTGCCCCCTCCTTTGGCATTTACTGTCTCACCCCTAAGAGCTGCCGCATCTTTCCCCAAAGCTGAATGCCACGACTATGCCGCGTACTCCCACCACTCAAAAAAAAAAAAAAAAAAAAAAAAATTATAGATGTACATAAACGGCTGTGGGGCCATGCAAGCCCTGGCTCCAGCTGGGCTGAGCCCTGCTGTGTGTCCCAGCCCCTGCGTGCTCCCGATCTCTTCCCAGAGATGGGGCGATGGGGCCGCCTGCCCTTCATCCTGCTCCCCAGGTTATTTTTAGCTGCACTTTTTCATTGTAAACTTTCTCTGTTTCTATAAACTGCGCATCAGTCATAATTACTGGTCCTGGCTGCTCCCAATGGTCCCCATGATCATTTCAGACACTAAATTAAAAGGAAATGCCAGGATATTCAACCACATCAAGTGCTCTGGATCCTAAAATAGGCTTAAAGGAGATGCAAGGAAGATGCTATCCTTTGCTTGCAAGCAGGAAAAAATAAGTTCCGGCGGCTTTCTGAAGTGGGGAGAGATTTAGGAGTTATCCGAAGTGCTGTGAAATGCAGCCGAGCCTCTGCCAGGCTCCCACTTTGTCTCACAAGTGCTTCCTCCATCCTCCTGAGACGAACCTGGGGAGCTGCAGGACGCGGGGCTCAGCACTGGGCACCCCCAGCCTGGCTGCATGCGGCTGCTTGGCCCCCAACTTGCATCCTCCCTGCTCCCCCGGCCCTACAAACAGCCAGCTGAGAGCACGGTGTCGCTGGAGTGGGAAGCTTTCCCCACTGAAAACACACGCGGCGGGTGCGTAGGGAGCACCCACACCTCTGCATGGCCTCGTCCTGCTCCGCCGCACCTCCCGTGTGTCCCTCGCCCTCTCTGCCAGACCCACCGTGGACACCCGGAGGTGCAAACGGCTGCAACACGAAGTCAAGAGTGGGACAATCCTGACCCTGCTGCTGACAGCAGTTGGATTTCGGCGGTAGCTGCGTGGGGGTGAAGGCGAGCGCCTGCCTGGCCGCCGAGCAGCACACCCCAGCTCCCTGGCTAAATTAAGGAGGTTGCCGTGAGCTCCCACCCCGCGCCAACGCAGCACCCAGGGCACTGCAGCTTTTTTTGCAAAGGTGCCTTCCTGTCCCAGCGCTCCCCGGGAAGGCAGGAACTGCCAGAAAGATGTCAGGCTGCGGGCAGAGCTGCCCCACGGCTTCATCCAGATGGGCCGCGGGGGGAGTTTGGCCACATCCCGGGGCAGCGGCGGGTGCTGGGGAGGGAAAGGGAGGATGAGCGTGCTGTGGTGCCGGCGGGTGGTCACAGGGGCTCGGGCACGCTGCAGCTCTGCGAGCCTCCTCCTCACCTTCCCGTTACAAACCTCCCTGCCCCGTGATTATACCCTGCACATAACTGTGACTCACAGCCGGTGGCTCAGCCCTGGCCGAGTAGAAATCTCAAAGCCCATCCTTACCCCAGGCTTAAAAATACAACCCACCTGACTCCTTCAGTTAGCGCACAGAAATAGCACGGGTCAGGTTTATATGAAATGTTTTATCTGCGTGCCGAGAGGCAGCGAGCAGGACGCGATGGGTGGATCCACCATCATCAAACCCAACTGAAGGTGCCCAGTGGCCACCCACGGCCCGGAGGCCCTCGTAGCCCCCGGCCTCACCACTTGCCCGGGCCAGCAGGCAGGCAGGGTGCTCTGCCTGCCCAAACCAGGACGTGTTTGTGCGCCGGGGAGGTTTGTCATTCCCTCTTCCCAGGAAAAAGGTGTGCCGTTGGGAGCCGCGCTCCGGCCCGGCTCACACAGCGCTACGTGGGGTGGCTGCGAGCAACGAGGTCCAAGTGCCCAATGGAGCACAGACTTACCCCATTTGCATGCCCCATCAGGGTAATTGTGCAGCAAATTATGCATGCAAATGGAAGTTAGCCTTCTCCCACAAAAATGTATTTAATTAACATGAAGGGGCTGACGAAGCCGCAGAAATCAAAGCCATTCAAATTGAAGGCTGGAACTGTGCTCCCCAACTTTCCCGGCTGTTCCAGGAGCACTGGGAAGGGGAGCGGCGCCAGCACCCCTGAGCCAGCACCGACCCCTCCCCGGAGGCCCCCCCCGAACATCCCACTCTGGTCTCTCATCAAACCCGGCCATTTTAAAGCACTTTTTGGTGCTTGTGCGTTGTCTTGAGTGTTGGGGGCAGCTGGGATTTGGTGCCTCGGCATCGCCTCCCTCGGTCCCGGCTTCCCCGGGATGCTGAGCCCCCACATCCTCAAAGGCTGTAGATGGGTGCTGGGTGCCTGCTCCCCTGAGCACCACCCAGAGCAGCAGGATCTGTCCCAGGGAGCTCTCTGGACTCTTTACACCCACACGTGGCAGAGGGGAGGCAGGAGAGGACTCAGGAGACGCCGTCAGAGCCCTCACTCACTCTTCCCTCCTCCCTAGGGTGCAGGTTCCCTCCCTGTCTGGGACCCCCGGGGGGGGTTTCTCCCCATTTTCAGAGCACTGGCTGTGGGGGACCCCATTCGGGGCCTGGAGGGGTACAGGCGAGGTGGTGCTCTCCTCTGGCACCACGCAGCGGCCAAATCCAGCCCTGCTCTGAAGAGGCATCCCCAAGCCTGAAACTCCAGTCCCATCTGTGCCTCACGGGCCAGGACGCTGCCCCGAGCTTATGAACACCCCCAACCTCGGCACAGAGGCTCCCCAAAAGCTTTGTGCTTGGCCTGGAGAGGGACACCCAAACACCCCTTAAAGCTGTGAGCACTGCCAGGGAAAAGCTGCGTATCCAAACGCCTGGTCTCTGCATCCCGCTGCGTTCGGGCCACCCCAGTGCCTGCGCGTTTTGGGGCGAGGGGAACCCCTTGCACCCCGAGTGCTTGTGTCCCCACCGATGCTGGCTGGAAATAGCTCTGCCGCTCACGCAACCGCCTGGAAATAGGACGGTGGCTGGAGCCTGGCATTGCTCAGTAACCAGCTGGACGGGATTCCAGCAATAATTAGCAACCTTGAGGATTTTATTTTGAACCGTGATTCAGTGGCCCACCGCGGGTAATTCTGTCCACCCTGCTGCTGGCTGTCCTGCCTGCCCCCCCCGCTCGCTCCGCAACCGAGTCCGGGGAGTGCGGGGGGGGGCGACGCAGCTCCCAGGGGCCGGACGAGCCCGTCTGACCCCGCGGCGCTTTGCAGCCTCCCTCGGAGACAGCGTGTGGGGGGAGCAGCCCAGGTCATTGCAACGTGGGGACAAGCTCGCCCAGTGGCCCCAGCTCGGTCCCAGCCCTCTGCCCCCCCCCGCTCTCCATCGCCGCTGAGCCGGGTTTGGTGCCGAGGCCCTGCCAGGGCCCGCAGCGACCCTCTCCCCGCACCCAGGGTGCAGCCCCAGGGCCCCCCTGTCCCCTCCCGCGGTTATTAAGCTCAGCTCCGGGCAGAAGAGGCTTTTCTCAAGAGGGGAGCACGGAGAAAGCCCCCCGGGACCGGGGGATGCTCGGGCCAGGGTCCAGGTTTGGGTCGGGGTCAGCTCAGTGGCCCGGGCTGGGCTGGCAGCGGGGGCTCCGTGTGCTGCTCCCCGGTGCCCCCCGGTGCTGTGGGTGACGACCCGGGGCTCGGCCCCCCGGTCCTGCCCGTGAGACCCGGACCCCCGGTGCCCCCCTCAGGCTCCGGTCCTGCCCGTGCGCCCTGGTCTGCTCCGGTGCCCCCGGTCCTGCCCAAGCCGTTTGGATCCTGCCCGTGTGTCCCGGTGCCCCCGCAGCTCCGGTCTCCCCGGTGAGCCCCGGTCCTGCCCAAGTCGCTTAGATCCTGCCCGCACGTCCGAGTCCGCCCGGTGCCTCCTCAGGCTCTGGTCCCTCCGGTGCGTCCCGGTCCCCCCGCAAGCCCCGATCCCCCCGGTGCCCCGGCGGGCTCCGGTGCCTCCAGTGTCCCGGGA